GAATTCATGAGTGAAAAAATGAAGGGACGAATGAAAGGAGGAAACGAATGAAGGGAGGAATGAAGGAAGGACCAAATAAATTAATAAAGGATCAAGGAAGGACTGAACAAACTAAGTAAGGTTGGAATGAACAAACGAATAAATGAATGATCAAAAGACCTAATAAAGGACAAAACCAAAAATAAACGAATAAATGAGCGAACGAATGACGAGAGGAACGAAGGAAGTGAATGAATGAATGAAGGAACGAATAGATGAATGAACAAAGGACATATTGAAAGAAAAGACAAAAAAATTAACAAACGAACAAAGGAACGAGCGAAAAAATGAAGGGAGGAACAAAGGAATGAATGAAGGACAGAACAAACAAACAATGGAAGAAAGGTTGTAAGGAACAAACGAAAATAGGGAGATCCCTAAATGCTAGACAGAATGTTACGTTTACACCACTGCACAAACTGCATGTAAACACATCAACTTTTCACAGTGTAATACTCACTACTCTTGAATACTTTTAAAAGGGCTACTTTTGACTCATATATTTTGTGCAAAATTTAGTAATTGAAAGTAATGGTACTTTTACTTGAGTATGATTTTTCAGTACTCTTTCCACCACTGGCCATACATGTAATGTTTTGGCTTTACTTTTTTTAACAGTGAAATTAGAATATTATTTACATTCTTACAATCTACAGTATGCTCTAAACGTCATTTTAAACATATTTCAGTATTCAGACAAAGTCAACATGTTGTGAACCCCACTGAGCTAACAAGATAATTATACCATGCTGGAAAGGAAGTAATAACTTGTTGATAGCTTATCATTTGTTATGCACTGATTCCTGCAAATACAGCACAGGATGAGCCTTTGTGACTTATGAAGGAGAATATCTCTGTCGTTGTATAACACAGGCACTCAGGAAGAAGCATAAAGGATCTTGTACCATCATAGTAACAGATCAGGATATATACTGACACTGCTTTGCTATACAACTTTAGAGAATTGTGTGTGTTTGCGTGTGTGTGTGTTCAGGGAGTGGAGCGTGAAAGAAAATCTGTGAGCATTTCCCCTGGGTGGGCTCTGAATGTGACAGGCCTGTAAAAACCAGCACTAGTGTTGCATTTCAACAGCTGTCTGTTTGCATCAAACATCTTTTCTGAAGCTAGTACAACAGGATAAGATAGATTTCAATCCACTTGCAGAATTCAATAACATTTTATTGGACAGGAAACAAGCCTCCCTTTCTAAGAATCTCTTCTACCTATTTTGGAGCAAATATTTTCAGGCTGGTTCTTTATTAGTTCTTTTAGCTGTGATGTAACTGCTTCGCAATGTGGTGGACTGAAGTGCATTTGCACGTGTTGAAAGACTTGTGGGCATTTCTTACCCCATTTAACCCCGGCCTAATGTCTTTTTAAACCCTAGGTTAAGGTTTTTACCTTTTGAGGTTAGTCAGTGATTCACACTTCTTTCTATTTAACTCTGGGCTATGAAATATTCATGCTAAAATTATACACAGTGAAACAATGTGACATTAAATCTAACAGGCAACCAGCCATAAACACCTCAGTGGATACCTTGTTAAATATCCATGCACTTTGTTCATTTACTGTAGTGTCTAGAGGAAAAGTTAATGTTGAACAATGTACTTAGTTAAAGAGCCCCATTATGGGTTTTTGAAAATGATCATGCAGTGTGTAACACTGTTCTAAATGAAGGGAAATATCCAGCTAAGGCTTAAATCTGAAAGTGCATCATGTTTAAAACTATTGATTCATCTATAAGTCAATTAAATACATTTTTCTATATCGCTTTTATTGCGTAGATTGTGTCAAAGCAGCTTCACATAGAAGATTATAGTAAATTTAAACAGTGTCAGTTCAGTTTTCAGTGTTAAAGTTCAGTTCAGTGTGGTTTAATATTCACTGCTGACAGTTCAAACACAATGCAAATCTATTGATGCGTAGCTCTACAGGTCAATTGTGCCTCTGCGCACTATTTATGAATGATTGGACATAAGCACTAAACTGGCAAAATTTGATATTTACAATGGGTTTTGTGAATCTTAAGAAACTTAAGACTCAGGAACAGTGCAGGCTCGTAGGGTTGAGGAGCCCTACGCGAGATAAAAAAAATAATAAAATTGGGCCGACTAGTGTAAAAACAGTAAGAAAATACCAAAAAAAAAAAACAATTTTAATATTTAAGTCTATACATTTTTATTAACTGAAACATATTTAACCTATAAAGCATATTTAAAAATATTTATTCAGAATTAAACCTAAGTAGTTTATTTTTCAAATTATTGTTTTCTGGCTTGCAAACTTGAGTATGACATATTTAAACAAAAAATGAATCAAATGCATTTTTTTGTAGATGAATAACATACAAATCTATGCAAAAATAACATGACATGTTAGCTTGTTTTTAGACTTTTTTTTTTTTAACACAAACAAAAATTTGCATTAAATGTTGGACAGTAGGTAAAATTAGATTTTGACTTAATGAGGGAGAAACATGTTTTTTTTTTCAGTAATGGGAAATAGTGGGATAGATAATTAATTGATTATTTATTGAAACATGCTGAATGTGGCCTTTTTTTCTCACATATGAAACAAATATTTCTTTGATTAAGGGCATTGTTGCATTTATCAAAACAAGTCCTAATACTGCACTACTAAATAATGTATTATGCACAGCAGAACATACATTTACTAGCTTGCTCTTCTTTCTCTGCTTTTCTTTTCTTCCTTTTTCGGCTTTGAAAATATGCTGTTTGGTTTGGACGCCATTTCAGTTCAAATTAAAATTTGATTAAGATAGATCAAAAATACCAAGGACACTTGTGACGTTATATTACTTAAAACTTTAAGACACTTTTTTGGCTTTATATCAAATGTCAATTTGGGGAGATGTGGAATCTGTGTGGAAAAACGTTACGTCATTCTAGTTCACCCAATAGCCGATCACGGATGATGTTATGCAAAATAGAGTGTGGTGCTGCTGGGTATGTTTCTAATATTTTCTGCTTTTATTTATACTTTTGTTGTGTATTTTTTATTGTTTTCAGCTATTTGTCATGTATGAATTATACAGAGCTCATTTTTTAATGAAACATGGAGGTTATTTTATTTTTCTCACCATCGTTGTAAATTGTATCGCATTTAATGGGGTTTGTGCATTGCGCAATAAGCATTGTTAATGATTTAAACGTTTGAGCTCATCCTCGCGCTTGTGTTCACAGTAAATATAATATAAAAGCAGAGTTTGTGGGGCCCTCCAAGAAACACAGGGCCCTAGGCGACTGCCGTGATTGCCTGTTGGACAGGCCAGCACTGCTCAGAAACAAGAATGAAGCCCGGTGTTTTTAACCCTGCAAATAATACATCAGTGTTCACATGCAAAATGTGACATCACCTGACCATCTAGGATTATTATAACCTTGAATAAACATTGTGAGAAATTTGGGATCCGCTTTTAATTTGTGTTACATTTCATGGTTCTCTTATGGACATTCTGTTGATTATTACCTTGTTTACATCAGGTATTGTGTATTTATTTATTTATTTATTTTTTGTCATCGTCATCATAAGTGGACAATTCCAAATACAGCTGTAAAAATGCTCTAAACATTTGAGCTTTGACTAGACTGGAGATGGTCAAAGTGGACAAAATCAGTTGATCATATTTCTTTCAAATTGTTAACATCTGAAATGTGCATTGAGACAGTGGCTTGAATGAAATGACGCAAAAATTATGTGGACAGTAATGAAAGGACACTCTTGACAAAAGCAAACACAAGTGCTCACAAGAGATGCGTTTGAATGCATTCTCACACTGTGTGGAGAAGGCAGTGCTCCTCAACCGACTACTTGTAATCGGATTACTGAAAATTAATTTGGTTAAAGGGCCTAGAAGGCACCATCAAAATAAAATATACCACAATTCCAAATGAAAAGCCTGTAGCTCATTTCCCCTCCCAGGCAGAGCAGCAGGTAAAGGGTGTTTTTATTTGTGCTCCATTGAGTAAAGCTTTATTGTGTCTTCCTATAGGGGAAAACAACTATAAATCTTGTCACAACTGGTAGCAAGTAAATCAGTATGTAATCATTTCTGAACTTTAAACTGACTAAAGTCTTGCCATACTGTACCTCTGTCACTTCTCTAAACCAGAAGTCTTATTCTTTGGCCTTGCTTTTCTCAGAACTGTTAAACTATCCAAGTTCCTTGAGGTACAGTTGATTGTGCCAGACCATCTGTTCTGGTGGCCTTCGACAGTTTTTACCACCCAAGCAATGTTATTTTTTTTTACCTAGCTTTAATTCTTGTCTTACCATTACACATAGGAGTGTCATTGGAAGCTGTAGTTTCACTATAAATAACTCTTTAAAGCTACTGAGTGATCGCTCTTATCTGGATCTGTAATGCAAAAACTATTATGCCGAAGCCACATCAAAGCACAGGACTGCTTTGATACACAGGTTCATTAAGTATATGCTGTGTTAGCGAATGTTAGAACATCATTCTGCTAGTTTTATGGTATTGATGTTGCAAAATCATTTCCATAGTTCCCTTTTATCGCTCTCTTAATATGATTATCTGATTTTCAGTCAATCGAAGTGCCATAAAACAGACAGAAGCCTTGAGTTTGGTTCATCCTGCCTTTGTGCAATCATTTATTTGCGTTAGGATTCGAGCAGTGCATTGCATAATCCATATTCTTTGAGTTTTAATGTGATGCGTTTGAAGCTAAATCCAGTGTGATGTTCATTTGCATTGAGAAAAAAAAAATTACAGCAATTCACAAATGACAGTGTGACATGCTTTTTCTCCGCTCTGGTGAGTTATGCAGGTTTAGAAATGTTTTAATGAACCTCTATTCTTTCTTTCTTTTATAGGAGTGCACGAGTCTCAACACGAGAAGGTCCTCAGTGTCACTGGGGATGGAATTATTCAAAGTCCTAACTTTCCCAACAAATATCCCCGAAATACTGTTATAGTGTGGCAACTGGTGGCAGTCATGGAAAGTTCCAGGATCCAGCTGACCTTTGACCCACGCTTTGGCCTGGAGGACGCGGAGGAAGGCACTTGCAAGTAAGAGACCCTGACCTCCTGGCTATTGACTAGACTTCACGTCCACATTAATATGAAGGACATATTGAATAAGGACATTGTGGCAGTTTAATAAGTCATTAAGTGAGTGGGTGGGTGGGTGGACATCAGATCAGAACAGTTGTACTTCCCAGACATTATACCAATCCAAAAAAAACACACATGACTGAGATGGGAAAAAAGGCTTTTAAGTACGCAGCACCTTTTGCTTGAAATAATCCGCAAACACAGTTGCAGTTCAAAGACTTACTACTACATTTCACTACATGCTTTTAAAAAGACTATAAAAGTTTTAGAAGTTGAAACACAGGCCTAATCTTGGCTAGGACGCTCTTGTAAAAGAGATTTTTAATCTCAATGTGTCTTTCCTGGTAAAATAAAGGTTATAATAATAGTAATAACACATGATTGCTGGTATAATCACAAACATTAACATTTTACTTTAAAAAGGTTTTTAGACAGTAAACCTTTTAAACTTTTTGTTGTATAGATTGCACCTTGTTTATAAAAACTTAATCTTTCTCATCACTATGCATAATGTCCACATCTGAGATATTTACATCTGCCATATGCTCAAGAACTTCAAGATCTGTATATTCTGTAATCTGTATATACAATTGTTTCAGCAATTAATTAGTACATTGATCGTTTTTTATATACATAAAAAAAGTTTAATCAGTATTACTGGAGATTTATTTTCAACAGATCTTGAACCCATTGTACAGTGCTCAGCATTATTGAGTTTACACCGTTTTGAAGGTGAATATTTGTATCCATTACTTAGTGAATATAGGCTATGTATTTTAGTTCATTTAAACAAAACAGATTTATTAAACAGATATGTTTATTAAAATAATATTTTAGTCATCAAACATATTTAGAAATTGAAAGATAATTCTATTGAATTCAAACAAAATTTTGAAAAAAATTCCAACCTACAAAATAAATGTGGGTTTACTAGTTTTTGGTTGCTTAGTTATCCTAAGTTATTTTGTTAGTTAAGCTCCTGATTTTGCTTCAGTACTGACTAATCCAATGTATATGCACAAATATAATATTGTATAGCTTCCTATTAAAAATATAAATTTAAAAGAGAGATTTGTGATGGGTTTACTTGTTTATGCTGAGCACTGTGCATTCTAATGGACAGACATATTTGAAAAAATATCTCTAAAGCTTGCAATGTTACAAAAGATTTCAAAGTTTAATTAGTAAGCAATCCCTTTTGCAATCCCTTTTTTACATACTGGCAAACATGTCAATAAATCTGAATAAAAACATTGCAAATGTGGCTTACGCCTGTGTCTGGAGTGAAGTGATAGTGGATTTTTTTCAAATTACAACATGCCGAGCCTCCTCGCCATTTGATCGAATGACAATCGTCCACTCTCATGGACTGCAGGCTTTAAATTAGATGCTCTGGAGCCACAAAAAAATATGGGCTGACACGTGATGTCCATTGTAATGCACACAAGGTCCAAAGGGGTTAAATGTAGTAAAAGTCTAAACCCACAATTAATGTAAAAAGGCATGTTATAATGTAGTCAAAACTTGGCTGAAACTGTGGAGAGGAAGAGATTGAGAAGATCCGAGGGCTTGAAAAATCCCCATGCGCTTCCTTTGAGGTGCTCAAATGTTTGCTTAGTGTTATACGACAAATCAGCACCACTAAACAAGCAGCATCAGGCACCCATTGCACTCGTGACAGGGTCAGACATAAGATGAAGCACCCATATTCAGTGAAGCAGTACGTACTCTATGTATGTGTGGAGGGAGGGGGAATTACACTGGAGATGTATGTGCTTGTTGTGACCATTTTTTAAGATTTAGAGTCGAAAGGAGGCCATTTGGGAGATTGGCTGTGCTGCATGAAGGCTGATGAATAATGAAGAGCCCACCCCCGGAGTGATTTTGTTTGGTTATATATTTATTTTTTCTTCGACGGATACCTTTGACATAAAGAGCCCTTTCCGCTTTGTGCATATTTAGTTCCGAGAGTCCTACATTGCTCCATAGCATCTGTTTGAGATTCTGGAGATGCGTATGAACACAGACTCACACACGCAAGCACACATAGCCCAGCCAATCCACATTAAAGACCCTTTCAATTACAGGCTAGCTTTCCTTCCTTCCTTCCAGGCCTCTGTCCGTGCCTCTGTTTTGCTGTATGGTGCAATCGATTGCAGACGTGCACATCTGTGCATTTTTACTTCCCAGAATGTAGATGATGACCTTCCCATAGCTGGTGGTTTCATCTGGAAAAAAATATTGCAACAGCTCTTCCGATTGTTAATGAACAGTGTGCTTTTCTTGCATATTTTCTATTGACATTCTTTAGATACCTGATAAAGATTCTTTATTGTCTGCAAGCCATCTGTAGAATATATTGTGATATACAGTGTTCGTGTGTATATACTGTTGGTGTAAATCAGTATAGTTTTATTTCTTGTCAATAATCAATTAGATAATGTGCTTTCATACACACTCATTGGCAAACTTCTGGATTTTTGCCAGCAGTGTGTATAGTGCAAGCTAGTGGCTATATGGACTCATTTCTTATTGATTTTAATGGTGCCATAGAGTGCATTGGCTCAATAAGTTAAATTGTCCTTTACAGTTTGTGCCTTGTGTAGCAAAAGCAGAATGCTACGCACATAAAAAAAATAAGGATGACCGTCTATTAAAAGAGGTCACCCGGAGTCCTCTTTCCTGCTCCCCAAGCATATACACAAAGGCCAAGTTGTCAAAATGAGGTTAACAGATTTCATTCATTCCTTTTTTTTGGCTTAGTTCTTTTATTAATCAGGGCTCGCCACAGTGGAATAAACCGCCAACTATTCCAGCATGTTTTACGCAGCGGATGCCCTTTCAGTTGCAACCCATCACTGGGAAACACTCATACACCCTCAAAACACATACAGTTGAAGTCAGAATTATTAGACCCCCGTTTATTTTTCCCCCAATTTCTGTTTAACAGAGAATATTTTTTTAACACATTTCTAAACATAATAGTTTTAATAACTCATTTCTAATAACTGATTTATTTAATCTTTGTCATGATGACAGTAAATAAAATTTGACTAGATCTTTTTCAAGACACTTCTAAACAGCTTAAAGTGACATTTAAAGGCTGAACTGGGATAATTAGGTTAACTAGGCAGGCTAGGGTAATTAGGCAAGTTATTATATAACGATGGTTTGTTCTGTAGACTATCGAAAAAAAAATTGCTTAATGGGGCTAATAATTTTGACCATAAAATGGTTCATAAAAAATTAAAAACTGCTTTTATTCTAGATGAAATAAAACAAATAAGAATTTCTCCAGAAAAAAATATTTTATCAGACATACTGTGAACACTTCCTTACTCTATTAAACATCATTTGGGAAATATTAAAAAAGGGAAAAAAAGTTCAAAGCTAATGATTCTGACTTTAACTGTATACACTGCGGCCAATTTAGCTTGCCCAATTCACAACAAAAAGGAACAAAAGGCCAAAACAAAAAGTATGCTACCTAAGTATGCTATTAAGCGTCTCTTACCTAAACCTAAAATTAGGGATGTCCTAATCAAGTTTTTTTTACCTCGAGTCAGAATCATTTGATTTTAAGTATCTACCGAAACCCGATCCGATACTTCTATAATACATAAAAAAAAAATCAAGAGCAAAAAACAGATTCAGGATGTTCCTTATTTTTTATTTGACTCGCTTATTTTAACATTCAACAACTCTGTTAACAAACAGCACTTCTGTGAGGTAGCTTGAACAATCAAACAATAAATAACATCAATTCATCACTTTTGGACTTTAGTGCAACAGTAAATATAAAGAAATCTAATATAAAACAAATAGCACCTCAACTTAAAATACCCAGCAGGCAATCCTGAATTTACATATCTCACTGTTTGCTATGGCAATGTTCATCAACTTTATAATACCTCCAGACTGCAGATGTAGTCTTATTTATTTTATTTTGAGTAGAATAAAAGCATTTTTTTTTCATTTGAAGATCAAAATTATTTGCCCCTTTAAGCTATATATTTTTCGATAGTCTAAAGAACAAACCATCGTTATACAATAACTTGCCTAATTACCCTAAACTGCCTACCTAAATAACCTAGTTAAACCTTTAAATGCCACTTTAAGCTGCATAAAAGTGTAAAAATTTTTGTCCTGAAAAATATCTAGTCAAATATTATGTACTGTCATCGTGACAAAGATAAAATAAATCAGTTATTCAGGATGAGTTATTAAAACTATTATGTTTAGAAATGTGTTGAAAAAAATCTTCTCTCCGTTAAAGAGAAATTGGGGAAAAAATAAAGGGGGGAGGGGGGTAATAATTCAGGGGGGCTAATAATTCTGACTTCAACCGTATATGCATATACATTCGAGTCCTGATCTGGAAGTAATGTCCGATTCTGAAACCATGTGATCGAACCCGATTTCTGATCACAAGATCGGATCTGAACATCCATACTAAAAATAAAGGTTTGTAAATAAAACAACAATTTTACTCTCCTTGTCTATGCATTAAACATGGGAAAGGTGACAAAAGAAAAAGGACCTTCCCTTACATCATTAAGCAGTTCACGAGTTCACACTTGCATTCGTTTAAGTATAAAGCGTATTTGGCGTGCTGTCCGGGGGGAGGGCTCTGAGCTCGAGGAGACGCCCCAACTCGAGTTATTCCCCTTATAAGGAAACAAAGAGGAGTTGGGATTCGAGCGAAGTATCTAGCCCGGCCCCAGAGCGCTCCCCCCGGGAATGAAATGCAAGAGGTGAGGTGACGGGGTGGTGGAGGGATGCTGAAGTCGTGAGATGCTGCAGGTAAGACAGCTTTGGTATATATAGGCGTTGCTCAGAAACTGATTTGATGATGGGATAATTGTCAATGACGTATTCGATACTGAAACTTCTGCGCATGCTCCTCCCGAAATTTGTTTAAAAACATCACTTCACGAGTTCACACTTGCATTCGT